TTATTAAACTACAATGTTTATCTAAATATTCATTACGATGTTAAACACTTTTGACTCCCTTAAAATATTTTCCGCTAAGTAAAATTTATTCACCGACACTTTTTGTCCAATTGATTAAGACGCTTGAGAACACCCAGAATTAGATCAGAGAAAAAAGATATTAGGCTGACCTGCTATATCAAGAGACAGGTCACAGTCCTATCAGGCTATTTAGATTGTGAGTTTGGAGACAAAAGCAGAAGTATACTAAAGTATTTCAAATATACTATGATGTAGTATTGGGATTCAGATAAACTCTATAAGGGCATAGTAGTTTAATGCCTAGCCTTGACTAGAGTTATTAATGGATTGGGTTAGGTTGAATTGGGTTGATCCGATTCTTAACCCACTTTAGTAAATTAGATTTATTTTAGCATTTTACTCCAAATTGCTTTTGATGGTTATCAATTCGACAATAAACTTGCAGTGAAGATTTGCATTGGTTTGCGACCAGAATTTGCTTCTGGAACTACGGGCTGCTATATTGAATTAGCTAAGCAATGTATGGATTCAAATCCAAAAAAACGGCCTAAAGCTTGTGATATTTATGAAACTTTTGAAAAATGGAATAAAATCATGGAAAGCTCATACGAATGTGACAGTAAAAAGCAATTCTTAGATGTTGAATTAGCTAAGTAATTTATGGATTCAGATCCAAAAAAAAAGCCTAAAGCTTGTGATATTTATGAAAATTATGAAAAATGTGGATGCTGATAAACAAGGGCTCTAGAAAAATGGATACTATCGAAATAAGTGATTGCATTTGATGATTTTTGTCGTGGTTTTGTGAATATGAGAAATAAATATAAAAATTGTTATTGACCGGGTGAAGACATTTATTATGCCAGGTGTACTTAAAATTGGGATTGGCCGGGTAAAGATATATATTAGGCCATGGGTATTTAAAATTGTTATTGGTTGGGCGAAGGCATTTATTATGGTCAGTTAATTAACTATTATTCGTTATTTAGATTGTTCGCTCTTCTTTACCCACTGCTTGCATCATTCGATTTTTTTTAACTATTGCTAGCATCGGTTTCTTTTTTTATTCGTTGCTTGTATCATTTGTTCTTTTCTTGTATTGTTCGTTGGTGCTGTTGTTGCATTGTTTGTATTGCTTGTTCATTATTCTTTACTTGCATTATTGGTTGATACTGCTCTACTAATGTTGTTGATGGTGAATCTGTGCCATATAGGAGCGATTCTAATCGTTGTGCTTCTGGATCATCGATCATCAAAACATTTAGAGAGATATTTTAAAATTACTGCGTAATAATAAATCGTATTTATATTAAAGCAGTGGTTACATCACTGATCCAATTAAATTTATTTTACACACTAAACTATCATTATCCATGCGGCAGTAAAATATGTATGGTTTAAAAAATAAACATGAGTATTATTTCTGTAAGAAAAACGTGACATGTGGCATTTTCAAAGACTAAATACAATTTCTAAAATATTTTTAGAATGCGCGTATTTTACTGCCGCATAATTCTGGGTATCTTGATCATAGGAAGAATTTCGGTTGATTGGCTGTTTAAATCAATTTAATTTTACATTATTTATACAGTTTAAAGTACTTTTTAAAAAAAATAAAACCACGAAGAATATAGAAAGTTTTATTAGGGTTGTAGGACTCCACTATTAAAAATAATCAAAATCCCTTTTTGTTTTAGAGAAGTGAGAATGGTAATAACCTAATTCTATCTATCTTTAAGAAGTTGCTATTATGCTAACTTCTCTAAAACAAAAAGGGATTTTGATTATTTTTAATAGTGGCGTCCTACAACCCTAATAAAACTTTCTATATTCTTCGTAGTTTTATTTTTTTTAAAAAAGTGGTGCTAAATACGGTAAAATTCCACAAACCCATCAGTTTCTAGTCTTGAGTCTTCATTTATTGGTTTTGAAAGTCCCAAGTCTGCAATATATGCACTGCTTAAACTACTTAATAAAACATTTCCACTATGTAAATCTCGATGAATAAGTTCTTGAAAATGAATTATTTGGAGATCCAGAAGCAATACAATGTAACAAAGTTAATTTATCTTTCCATTCCGTTTGTGATACAGAGATAAAATTTTTACGTAAAGAACCCATTACTGCTACTTCATAACAAGAATATAGTTCTTAGAAATATCATCTTTTGATATTCCATAGCACCTTAAAAATGTTGGATTTTTATTGAAAATATCACAATATGCTTTTAACTTCAATATTAAAAATAATTTATTAAAATATAAATTGCTAAATTGTCAAAAATGTCTACACATAAATACATTTACCTCTTTTATAAATGCTTCATAATTCTCTTTTGATTTATGAAGCAATTTGAGTGCAACAAGTATTATAACGTTATTTGGATTTTGTTTATTTCTCCAGTTAACATAATACACAATTGTGAATCAACCTTGCCCTATTTTTTGTATATATTCAAATTCATTATAAGGAATCCAAGACAACGGATATTCGCCTGTTCGTTACTAATGAAAGTTAAATTATTGTTATTATATTTGAAACATTTTAACAAGTAAATAGGGTTTCGTAATTAATATTTTGACATCCGATTTCAGATAAAATAAGCGACGTATTTACGTTGAAATATAGGATACATACATCCTATTTTTTTTAACGTAAAGACTTATTTCCATTAACGTTTATCGGTAGATACTTATCAAAAAAATGCTAATTTTATTAATGTGTACGTCTATTTAGTTCACTGAGTCGGGATTTTAAAAAGAAATTAGGATCTTTTAAACTCCCATTTATTTTCAAAAAAAAACTTAATTCTGAAACCCCCTAATATCATCAATTTGTAATAATTAATTACTTAATTCAGTTTTAATTACATTTATTAAAAAGAAATATATAATTTTATCGTGGCAATATAAAAATAACTTACATCTGGTACCATTCATTGACTTTTTTTAAGTCTCTTGTTATTCCAATTCCATTACAATAAAAATATCCAATAGAACTTATTCCACTAGCGCCTCCCATCTCCATATCTCTTTGAACGTAAGTGAATGACTTATGTTCATCCAATTCCATAAAGGAATAGCTCTTATTATTTTTAATCAATCGGAACAAACCTCAAAGATGCTTTTCGCGAATTTTTGTTTACGCGATTTAGTCATGTGAGCATTAACGTGTTTTTGTAATGCATGTTTTTTGTTACACGAAATGCAAATATATAGACGCGATTGTTGATTGTTTTGAACGCATCACAGTGATCAATCATGTGATTAGTCAATTAAATTTTTATATAAGCTAGAAATTTTTCTTCCTATTAACATTAAGCTTTTTTGAATTTTTTTTTGCTTGGGGTCTACTGTTTCCGAAAGAGAAGGTTACAGTTACGCATCTTCCTTAAGCATCAAAAAAGCTTAAGCGGCGAGTGTCGTGAATTGAGTTGGAACACCTTTAAAAAGTTGGAACATCCTTATAAAGTTGGAACACCCTTATAGAGTCGGAACACCCTTATAGAGTCGGAACATCCTTATAGAGTTGAAACATTCTAAAGCCTAAACCAAAAACTAATATTTAATAAAATTTTTTGCTTATTTGAGTTTTCATAAGCTTTCTTATTTTCGATATGTGAAGAATACATTCAACTTAATGTTATGTGATTTGAAGCTTGGAAGTTGTACGATAATTTTATAATATGTTGTGAAGTAAAGGTGAGAAAAGGTTTCGTATAGTCATGAACATTAGTTTGTTAAAATTTATTTAAAGGACGTAACTTGGATAAGGTTGGTTACGACACTTATGTGCGAGGTAGGGGCACATAGGAATACTAACCTAAAATAATTTTCTTAAATATTTATTAGATCACCATGTAATTAATAAAATAACGTTGCTTTTACGCATTTATCAATTACATTTAACTATTATCGTTCGTGTAATATGATCTTATGAATTGTTTTGACCCGATTTTTTTTTGTTATAAAATGAAATATTCATTTGTATAAATATCACGACAAAAAATTTCACATGTTAAATATAATACAAATGATAACATTGGTATTAGTTATACGAAAATAACAGGAAATTTTTTCATAGTATGACCTTATACATATTTACGTCGTTGTATTTTAATATTAATTTGTATATTATATTAACATTAAGTTTATCATTAAAACACGTTAAATAAAAGTTTTTAAAGAGTTAGAACTTGGAATTTATATGTGGCTATTTTAACTATTACTATGTAGCAATAAATTTTTACAAAGTGAATATAAACGTCCTCTCGAGGCTATAAATGGCTTTCATAGTGATTTTTTATTGGCGAAACTTACGTTCTCAAAAAGTTAGTGATGGCCTGGTCGGTACCGGTTTCTGAAGGACCGACTGGATATCTGACTGACCAAATATTTGTCAGCAGTGATAAACTTTTGATTCAGATCACATCCGAATCAAAAGTTTATCGAATCAGAAAATATTCGGTCGGTCAATTTTTGCCAGATTTTCAAGAATTTATATAAACAGCTGTAATATTGTTAATTGGTCCGTTCAGTCCTAAAAATTGGCCTTACGATAAGATTTTGTTTATTTTTTTATCAATTTAAGCTACAAAATGCATGTGTTCGTGTTTTTTTTTTTTTTTTTGAGCGAAGCAGATTTTAACAATACTAGTTTAATGAAATAAAACAATTACAATAGTTTCCTATTCTTCAAAGTGCGCCAATTTTTATGCAATAAACCAATTATACTAGTTTTTTAATTCTCCAAAATTCAAATTTCTCGTTGAAGCTAATTTTTTTTGACGCACAATTGACCTTACAGATTCATCATTTAATCTATTTCTTTTGAAATAGTAAGACCAGTTACGGAGAATGTTTACTCTGAAACCACATAGGTGACTTGTATATAGAGATAGGTTTATCCCATTAAGATTTCTCTCCTCTCTATCGGTTTTCTTTTTTTTGCCTTTTATAATATGCGCAGTTTTCCCATCACTACTTGTATAGACTTAAAGTAGGTAATCTTTTTATACTTGCTACCACGTTACTAATTCGAATTATTATATCTTCCAATGGAAATATTAAATACTTTTCTAATTCATTTTGTAGATTGCTTGGTGGTGTATTTACTGATAATGGGTGTTCTCAAGTAGCTTCATCAATGTGATTAGCTAATGATCGAGATGTTGCGGGTGGTGGTTATTGCGGTTAATC